GTTTGATACAGGGTATATCAAATGGTATATCTACGGGATTACACATTTAGAAATCACCTATTTAAGTGTGAAATGTAAGCCGCTTCAAGGAGAATCCGGTAAGGCCAATTCTCTACGCACTTATAAACCAAGACGTGTTCATGGCTGAAACGAACAAAACAATGAGAACCAAAAACAGTTCAAGGGTTAATTGTGTGACCTATGTTGTCTAGGTATACACCAAAGCTCGACGGTTCAAAGATATCAAATCTACCGATTGACCAAGTATATCCGATATATGTTCACTATGGAAAGTTCAAAGGGAAATCCACTTATCCAGAGGCAATCAATCCTTAATTACGAATCACACAATTTTTCATGCATATGTTTTAATAATAGCCATTCCCTATTCATGTGGGGGATTGTTGGGTTTTAAAGGTGTGAACATGAAATGAAGGGTTGTGACTCTCTTGAAGAGTTGTAACTATGCCGAAGGGTTGTGACCTTTATGAAAGGTTGTATCCTTTCTAAAGGGTTCTGACCGTTTGAAAGGTTATGTCTTTTCCAAAGTGTTGTGACCTTTCTGAAAAGTTGTCTTCTTTCCAAAGGGTTGTGACATTTACCTTTTGTTGGCTATAAATAGAGAGGCTTTCTCTCATTTTTCATCATCAAATTCTTCCTTTCTTTTGCAGACATTTCTTACAAAACAAAATTGATCTATCGTGTTTGTGTGTGTGATTCATTGCTGTCATTTTGAGTTTATTGAAATTATCGAAGTTTGAGGTACCGCTACTTCTTTAATGATTAATCCGTTTTATCTTGGGAGAAATTAATCTGCAACCTCGGGTGCTTGAGGGAATTAAATTTCTTAAGGACACACAGTGGGTTCTGTGGACTCGGATAGTTTTTTGTATTTTTCTTTTCATCTTTTATTATTTCTGGTTTGCTAATCTGAATACAGGAGATAACAATTTTAACAATCTTGGCAGCAAAATCATTAAGAGAATTGGTTCTGCACAATTGAACTCTTATGCCTGTTTCATTATCTAGTGGGGTTGTGAATTGCAATTCTTTGAGAAAGATTTCTCTATCTAATGTAAGATTAGACGAAAACATGCTTCAGACTCTACTTAATAGTTGTCTCTTGATTGTCTCTTTCATCGTTGAGAATTGTTCGGGGATGAAAGTTCTAAAGATCAAGTCGGATTCCCTGAAGGTCTTGAAGATTATACAATATTACAAGATATGTGACATTGATGCTCCAAAATTGGTATCCCTTGACTATACAGGGAGTGAAATTCCTGAACTTAACATTGCAAGAGAGTCAAGCCAATTGAAGAACTCAAAAATCTTCCTTAATGGTGTCCTCTCCAGTTTAAATACTGCATGGTTTTGTAAGTTGAGGAAGTTTCTATCAAATCCGTCCTTTTGGTCTGAAGTTAGCCTTTGTTTATTCAAATACGATGAGATCAACATGACAGATTTGCAAATGGACCACATAGGTTCTACTGGAAGGGTGGATGTTTTAAATCTCAATATGCTACTGATGAATCAGATTATAGAGTGCCCAACTTTTGTGGATGCATTGCTATGGAGTTGTCATTCTAGGAGACTCAACTTAATCTCATTTGATATTGAAATAGTTACACATTTAATTGAAATAGTTAAACGTTTAACTTAATCTTCCACATGTGTCCAGTAATCTTCAAATAGCTGATGCGTTTACAAAATCCATGGCACGGCAACGGCATCAGTTTCTAGTAGGCAAATTGATGCTTCTTGATCCACCAACATCAATTTGAGGGGGGATGTTAGCATGATGGACAACTAAATGATTGTATATATTAATGTAATTATATAGTGATATAAATTAGCATGATCATATACATTTGTTGTAGAATCAAAGGAATAAATATTGCAATAGAATAGCTGATTTGGAGGGATAGGAAGGCGGATTTAGAGGGATTGAATAGTAGATTTGTAGAGATAGAATAGATGATCTTTAGGGATAGGAATAGCGGATCTTTAGAGATGTGTAATCTTTATTTTCTCTATATAATGGAAAGACTCTCTCACTTTGAGAAGCATTCAGCAGAAAATTGACAAGTGACACTTTATGTGCTACTCACCCGGTGATCCAATTTTAATTGTCATGTTGTGCTTTTCGAAAGTCAATTTGACTAATTTTCAAAGTTAAATTAGGTTACATTAATTAAATATTTTAAACAAAAAAAATTAGATATTCAAAAACTATACGAAAAGTACTATAAATTGCAATTTTTTGCCAATCAATATGATGAAAAAATACATTGTAAAATCTTAGTCAAAGATCTTATAGTTTGACTCTAAAAAGGAAACTATGACAATTAAAAGTGAACGGAGGGAGTATTAACCTTCTTAAAGTGGAAATAAGAACCTCTTACCCATTTTTTCACTAAATTTTTAAAGGTTTATTTGTTAAAATCTTTTTAAATTAAATTTTCTTAATTTCTTAAAAAAATTAAGTTGCGACTCTTTTCATAAATTAAATTTTCATAATTTCTTTTTAAAAAATAAGTTGCGATAAGTATCCACCCAGTGTCTGATATCCACATTGGGGTCCGACTAAATTTGAATTCGCACAGAAAAGTTCCACATTGTTGGTAAACCGTTTTCTAACAAAGGCGACTTGAATCCGAGACATCTAGTTAAGGATGAAGGAGTACTTACCACTCCACCACAATTCTCGTTAGTAAAATTGAATTGTCATCATTAAGTTGAATATCTAATACTTTTAACAATAAATCATTTCAACCAACAAGGTAGTCATCGTGCTATTTATGATTTAGCTAAGCAGTTTGCATCATTACAAAGGTAATTTTTTATTAGATTAACTAGTCTAAATTTTAAAAAGAAAAAGATAATGAGAAAAAAAAGTTATCATTTTTTTTTGTGTTAGTGATTGTCTGAAATTGCTTCAATGGTGTTGAAGAAGAGGGTGATAAATAATGACGATGAAGAGACAAGTGGTTAAAGAAGTCCTTATTTTTGATAAACCAAGTAAGAATCCTAAACAAACTTCATATAATTAATTTAGATTTCAAGTTACCTTATAATACTCTTTTTGCTATTTTTATTTAAATATTAATAATATGTGAAAAATACTTTATAATATTTCTAAAAATAATAGGACAATATAATTTTATTGTCCACTATCAGTGGATACTAGCTAATCTCTTATTATTTATATTGGTATTTATTAGTACATATTCACCTATTGAATTGATAAACACTTGTGTTAGTATACATTGAACTATATTCATATAATAAATTAGTATTTGTATGAGTGTCTTTATAATTTTGCATTAGTTTACATTCATCCCTATTCACCTAACAAATTTGTATACATTTCTTTTTTCATTATTATCCGGTCGATTGTATTCACCTATGAGGTTAAGGAAATCCCCATGCCTTAAAAGTTATGAAGAGTGCAATAATACATTCCGGCATATATTGTGAAGTATATGTAGATAATAAAATTCGCATTGAGAAAACAATAATCAAGAATGGAAAAACATCGCAACAATCATTTTATTGATTTAAAGTGTGGGTGTTACAATCTTTATGATTCATCTGAATTCTCCTTTTCGAATATAATTCAAGGGCTCTTGAGCTTGATCTTGAATTTGTCTTGAATTTGTCTTGAACTTGAACTTTATCTTGATCTTGATCTTGATCTTGAACTGGAACTTTATTTTGATCTTGACTTCTAGTTGAATTCAAGGGCTTCGAGCTTGATCTTGAATCCGGCGGTCTTGATCTTGATCGTTCTTGAACTTGAACTTTATCTGGATCTTGACTTCTATTGAATCCAAGGGTTTCGAGTTTGATCTTGAATCCGGTGGTCTTGATCTTGATCGTTCTTGTACTTGAACTTTATCTTGATCTTGACTTCTAGTTGAATCCAAGGGCTTCAAGTTTGATCTTGATCCGACAGTCTTGATCTTGATTGTTCTTGTACTTAAACTTTATCTTGATCTTGACTTCTAGTTGAATCCAAGGGCTTCGAGCTTGTATCTTGAATCCGGCGGTCTTGATCTTGATCGTTCTTGAACTAAATGCTTGAAATCTTGAATTTTTGAACTTGTAGAGAAATTTATGGCTTTTGATCCACAAGCTTTCTCTAGCTTCTTGTTAGAATTCTTGAACTTGTAGAGAAATCTGTGGCTTTTAATCCATGAGCTTTCTCTAGCTTCTTGTTAGAATTCTTGGTTGCTTTTCTGAATTATGAGGACCTCTATTTATAGTTTTAAAATAGAGGAGTTGTGATTGAAACGAGTCTCCCTTCGGCCAATCAGATTTAAGTGACATGACATATGGACTTTATGGAGCGGACTTTAATTAAATACATATTACTGAATTTAAATAATTAACTCAATTATATTAATCCATAATATTTATTTGGACTAATATCTTCATAAATTTAATAAAATCCGAATCATTTAATAAATTTTAATTGACTACAGTATCATGTATATATTCAGATATATTTGTGAAGTACCTACCATGTATACATTCCAATATAAAAATTCATTATTTGAATTCACCTAATAAGAATACATTTATTTATATTTGTATTCATTAGTCCATATTCATCTAATAAGTTGATAAACATTTGTATTAGTATACATTGTATTGTATTTATTAAAAAAATTAATATTTGCATGAGTATCTTTATAATTTTGTATTGGTATACATTAATCCCTATTCAGTATTTACCTTACAAATTTATATACATTTGTTTTCGTTATTATATATTAGTATAATATAATGGGTCATAGATATATGTAGAATGAGTTCTACACAAATTATGATATGTTGTATGACGTTAAAGACAAAACCTTTTGAATAAGGAAAAAGAAATAGGATTCCTTTAAATTATAATAGGGACGATAGGTCTCTTTTTTTTAGTGCCGTATTTGCAAAAAATAATTGTATAAATTTCCATTAACATTAGGGTTCTGATCCTTCACCATACAATCATGGCTGACTTATTGCCGGAATGTCTCATTCAAAAAATACTCGGTTTGCTTAGTCATAAAGAAGCAATCAAGATGAGCATTCTCTCGAAAACATGGCTGCAAGCGTGGTTAACTCTTCCCAAGTTGGAATTCACTGTTCTTTGTTGGGAAGGCCGTACAAAGATAGTGGACACAATCATGGAGAGATATGAGAAGGGGAAAATTCCTATACAAAAGTTTGAATTATCACTGTTTTTTGCTGATTCTCCCGAACTTTTCCATCTGGTTGATAAGTGGCTTCTCATTGCACTTCAGAATGGTGTAAAAGAACTTGTACTTCACTTTACATCATACCGGGTGCCTATTTTAACAATCTTGGCAGCAAAATCATTAAGTGAATTGGTTCTGCACGATTGTATACTTATGCCTGTTTCATTATCTAGTGGGGTTGTGAATTTCAATTCTTTGAGAAAAATTTCTCTATCTAATGTAACGTTAGACGAAAACATGCTTCAGACTCTACTTGATAGCTGTCCCTTGATTGTCTCTTTCATCCTTGAGAATTGTTCGGGGATGAAAGTTCTAAAAATCAAGTCGGATTCCCTAAAGGTCTTGAAGATTATACAGTATTACAAGATATGTGACATTGATGCTCCAAATTTGGTATCCCTTGACTATACTGGGAGTGAAATTCCTGAACTTAACATTGCAAGAGGGTCAAGCCAATTGAAGAACACAAAAATCATTCTTCATTGTCTCCCCAGTTTCTCCAGTTTAATTAATACGGCATGGTTTTGTAAGTTGAGGAAGTTTCTATCAAATCCGTCCTCTTGTTCTGAAGTTAGCCTTTGTTTATTCGAATGCGATGAGATCAACCTGACAGATTTGCAAATGGACCACATAGGTTCCACTGGATGGGTGGATGTTTTAAATCTCAATATGCTACTGATGAATCAAATTATAGAGTGCCCAACTTTTGTGGATGCGTTGCTATGGAGTTGTCATCCTAGGAGACTCAACTTAATCTCATTTGATATTGAAACAGTTACACGTTTAATTGATTGTTTAATGTATATGAAGAATTCGAGTCATTCTACATATTCTCATGGTTGGAATAATCAATTAAAAGAAATAAAAGCTTTTGATGGAAAAAATCAGTTGCTGCAACTCGGAAGTGAGGAGCTTGCAAAAAGGATTACGGAGGGGGAGCAACCTTATTTCATATTAGATTGGTGATGGAGTTAAGTTGTCTCTATTTCGAATTGAATGCACTTATTCATTTCTAAGTTTATTATACTTCATTTGTCAGGATGCATTTTTTTTTGTTTTCCATATCTAGCTTTAAATTCTTGCAGTTCAGAAAATATGTTGCCTCATCTATTTTGAGGTGTACGTTATGAAATTGACAACCTAATAACTTGTTATTTTCCTCATGTTGTAAATTTCTCCGAATTCAATCGACTTTGAACCGAGCTTGAGCATGGTATATTTCTCTGTTTTCCTACTTCTGAGATTATCATAAGGAGTTTGAGGGCGTTTTCATTTCTCAATTATCATACTAACAGCACAACTTATTAGAGTATATATATATACCAGTTTTTGTATCACAATGAGGTACTTTGTACTTTCCTTTCAACAGCATAGGGTGGGTGTCTTAGAAGAACAATCCCCCTCCCTACACATGCATTAACTTCATACTTCCCGCTGCTGGTTGACGATGTCAGATCATAGCAATGTATTTTAGCTTTGACACATTCTAATTTCGAACTGCTTCAACATTGTTCTGATTTGTTCTTCTTGAGCAGTGTTGCATTTCACTATTTGTGTAGATTGCATTACGAGTGTCAAACTGATACATGTGTGACTGCGCGTTAGGAGAAGCTTATTTCAACCGAGGACTACAACTGTCCTTTAATTAAGAAATTCAGTTCTAAATACAACCGAAGAGTTTTCTTTTTGCTAAGCACAGTAAAAAAAGTTGATTCTTTTTCTGGTGAAGTAATTAGATTTCTTTATTTCTTTTTCGAGAAAATATTTGTCCATCCTAAAAAAGTAGACAGGATAAGTTTCATAGGGATGAGTCTTTAGCAGTTAAACTTATGCCTTATGGGATTAGTACTTCAAATCTATGATGTCAAGTAGTTTTTGGTGTCATTCTTTTGAACAAGATCATCCATCTTTTCACATGTGAAAAAAAAATTGATACTCAAGGTGACTCAAAAATATTGTTACTGTTACATCAAACCTCGAGCATGCACAGATCACGAGGGGAACTTTTAGTCTTTCTCCATGATTCGTATGTGCCTAAAGTTAAACAGTGTTTTATGTACCTTTCTCTTACATGCTCTGCGGTCAAAAGAACTTTGTATTTCTTTTATAGATAATGATCCCCAAATGAAAAATAAACTGTTAACGCAGTCCAACCGAGAAAATACAGGGGCAGGGTCATAGAGTTCATTAGATCTCTCAATTTGTCCCCAAAAAAAGTCAGTCTTTTCCTTCTTCTTTTTGCCCAGCAGCGTGAAAAACTGATTTCATATTCGGATTAGTAAGGTAAGGATTAACCCTTGGAATATTCACTTTAAGAAAATTTACCCAAAGGTAACGAAACTTTCTACATAACTACAATTACCTTGAATGAGAACTTGCAGTACTTTGCTCAAGAATTATATATGTTGTCTCATTCAGTTTTGGTTTTAGATAGGGAATTAGTGAAACTAATTAGCGTTATGATGTACACATAACATGACAGGTCCAATTCATAAGTAGACACTTTATACTTCATTAAAAGGTGTAATTTGGACCCATTAGTTATTGACAGGTCCAAGGAACTCTTTTTTACTTCTTCGGAGATGCTGATTACAAGCTACTCCTGCACTCAATATCCTGTTTAATGTCTATTCTTCCGGAATGGTAGGATGCTTGATCAAAAACTTTGTTTCCTCTCATCCCCGTGGGAGTATGTACCGTGTCTCAGTTCCACTGTGGCTAATTATCCAAAAAGATCAACTAATTAAGCAGAATGTCTCTGTATCTCCTCATTCCCTTCTACTCTATGTTACAATTCCGCTATTATCTTTTCTATTGTCGTAGTTTGAGTTTTCTATCAAAGAAATCAGTACTCTGTTGTTGAAGGATTGACACGTTCACTTCAAGACCCCATTGGAGTTGTATGAGTATTGACAACCTATAACCTCTTCTTGGTTAACAAATACATTCCTTCTTGTTGGTACACAAAATCATTAAACTAATTATTTGCGTATTTTATAACAGTTAAATGAGATTTAAATGTCAAATGACAGTATACATATATAATAACATGATCTTAGTACGATAGCAGTCATAAAATTTTCAGACAAATGCTGCCAGTATAACGAGGTTTGACTGCATATACAAGACAAGTATAATCCTCTTTACTCCCCATGTTGTATTCTCTACTTGAGACACTGTTATCCAACTGATTACACAACATCTCGTTCTCTTGCACTATTTTTTCATCTTTTCCTTGATGGTTTGATGCAGATTACAAGTTCCACAAAACTTTTCCCATGGTTGTTATTAGGCACACCAAGTTAATGGGCACGTTTATGTTATTATTCCTTTTTTTTTGTTGACGGATGTCAAAGTAGCAGAAAAATAGCCAGAAGAATGTAATTGCTAAAATTGATCAAAAACAGGAACTAAATTGAGTACAAAATCACACAAACAACTAAGAAAACGGAAAAATCACTAATGAGAACTAAATTCGACTATAAAATATTACACAAAACACTTAGTTATTTACTTATTTTGGAGTGATGTAACGCGTAATGGGTCTATGATCCTCTTTTATATATAATATATATACTCCATATATAATACAATATAGATAGATATAAAAAAGGACAAATTAATTTAACCCGTTTAGAAATATGATACCTATAATATAATACGTATTTTTCTTTTCTTTTTGGCTTTTAGGGAAACCCTAACCTACAAATTGAATCAAACTCCAAAGCATGTTTTCCCAAAAATTTCCATCAACATTAGGGTTGTGATCTGATCCTTTAGACGACCATGGCGGCTGACATATTGCCTGAATGTCTCATTCAAAAAATTCTTTCTTTTTTTAGTTTTAAAGAAGCAACGAAGATGAGCATTCTCTCCAAAACATGGATGCAAGCGTGGTCGACTCTTCCCAACTTGAAATTCATTGTTCATAGGCGCAAAGGCAATATACAGATAGTGGATACAATCATGGAGAGATATAGGGATGGAGAAGTCCCTATAGAGAAATTTGAATTATCAAAGCTCTTTGGTGATTCTCATCCCATTTTCCCTCTGGTTGATAAATGGCTTGACATTGCAATTCAAAATGGTGTAAAAGATCTTATCCTTAACTATACATCATACCCCATGCCTATTTTTGCAATCTTGAGAGCAAAATCTTTAAGAAAATTGATTCTGAAGAGTTGTCCTCTTTTGCCTCTTTCGTTAACCAATGGTGTTGTGAATAACAATTCTTTGAGAAAGCTTTCTCTTATCTTATGTGAAATTAGATGAAATCATGCTTCAGACTCTACTTAATAGTTTTCCATCAATTGTCTCTTTCATGTTTGAGTATTGTTCGGGCTTGGAAACTATTGAGCTAGTGAATCTTCAAAAGATCAAGTCAGTTTCCCTGAAGGTCTTGAGGATTTGGGATTGTGGGGGCATATGGGAGATTGATGCTCCGAATTTGGTGTCATTTGAGTACATGGGGAAACTAATTCCTCAACTTAGAATTGCAAGACAGCTGGAGCACTCAAACGTCATTCTTTACGGCTTAGACAATGTAAATACTGACTGGTTTTGTAAGTTGAGGAAGTTTCTATCAAGTTCTAACTCTTGGTTTAAAGTTACCCTTTATATTTTTGAATACACTGAGATTAAAATGGAACATCTGCTGCAACAACACCATAGAGTTGCTACCCACCAGGTGGACGTTTTAGAAGTCAACAGGCTAGGGCAGAATCGAGAGTGCTCTTCATTTGTGGATGCTTTGGTATGGAGTTGTCTGCCTAGGAGACTCAGCCTGCAATGAACACCAGAAATGTTTACAGTTTACATTGATCGTTTGATGCATATGAAGAATACGATTCAGTCTACTTCTCATGGAAGAAGCAACCCTTGGTATAGTCAATTAAAAGATGTAAAAGCCTACAAATCTGATTGGAAGGAGGAGAGTTGGTACCCTGTGGAACACAAAAGTGAGGAGTTGACAGCAATGAACCTTGATACATATTCCATTTTATTAGATTGGTAATGCAGTTACGTTTAATTTATATTTTTCAAAGTTAGATCCTACATATTTTTAGAACTTCAAAGTTAGTTTCCCATCAGTTCTTTATTTAAGAATAGTCTTTTATCAAACATGATTAAAGTTGGAAATATATTTATCAAGGTACAAGGACAGTCTGTTTGCTTTACAGTTTTCGTTCATGTGGATTTGTTGTACGTCTTTTTGGCTTATAGATGTCGTTCAGAAGATGACTCGGGAACTCATATGTTGTGGTTAGTGTTTCTCGTCAAAGTTTTAGTAATGTGCATCTCTAAGGCTTGGCTTATGGGTGTTCTTTTGTACTTTAAAATCACGTCCTGTCATATAATTATAGAAGTTGGATGAGTATGAAATTGACAACCAATTAACTCCTTTTTGGATCGTTTCAACTTACTGTTCTGTTTCAATTGACTCCCTGTCATGTAGTCTGTTTTGGAATTGTGATATCTGCTATATTTCAGTTACAATTTAGTGCAAGCACACTCAACCTGCTGCTGCTTCATACTGGTACAGTACTGTTTTCCTTCACATGGAAAAGTTTGTGTTTGTAAACCATTCGGCAGGATGTTCATATGTATAATAGCGTCCCTTTAGAAAGCCTGTTTTACACCAAACTTCATATCATAATGAGGAACTTGAGCCAATGTTGGTTTACTTTAGACAAATTGCATAACACCATGAGGTGTCGACAGAAAAACCATCCCGATTTTGTTGTTTCAACAAATTGCTGTTTCCACTTATTTTTACTCTTTGATATTGTAAGAAGAAAGAGGTAATATCTCCCAAAAAGAATTGAACTCTATGGACTGACTTTCGCAAGGCAGTACATACTTCCTAAATGGTGTTATGAATCTGAGATGCGATTGAATAACCAGAAAATTGGGATACAGTATTGACATTCACGGTAGAATATTGTGAATTCACAATGCTACAAGTA